TTTATGATTTTATTAACATCTAGTGTCTTCAATTTTTTTTTTTATCACAATTTTACTTCTTTTTTTTATTATATTTTTTGGTATTTTTTTTCTTATATTTATTTATTTATTAAAAGGTTAAATATGTTTTTAATTCTTATAAAATGAACAAATTTTAATTTTGATCATTATAAATTTTTTTCTCTACTTTTTCATCTTTAAAATTTAAAATTATTATTTTTAGTTTCTTCTATCATATATTATATAATAATTGTTAATTATTTATATGCTTATTAAAATATTATATAATTATTCTAAGACATATACGAGAATTTGTGATACCATATTAGCATGTTATATTTATAAAATAATTATAAAATTTTAAAATAAATATTATTTATCTATTTTAAAATTAATATTGAAGAATAATAATAATAATTTTATATTTTAGAAAGATGTAAGAAAAGAAATCCGAGCTGAATAAATATAAATCTCCGAGTTGTTTTTCTTTATCTTGACTACCTCTTGGTCGTGTAAGAATATTAACTTAAGAATATTTTCCTTTCAAAGAATTTTTTTTATAAAAAAAGTTATTTTTCTAACAGTAGTTTCTAAAATGTTTTAAAATACGGTATGAGCAGGTCATACATTTGTTCAACAGTGTTTTGATATTTTTTTTACAAGGTTTTATAAAAAGAATATCAATTCTCGATTTTTTTATTTTCCTTCTTTCATTAATATATGATATTTTTTTTTATAGTGAAAGGTATATACATTAAAAAAAAAAAAGACAACTAGCAATGCAAGCTATTCTTCCTCACATTGATTCGTGTGGTATATGTTTCATATTACTATAAAAAATAAAAATATAATTAATAGGTTTGATTTCATAAAATAAATTGTGTAAGTAATAATATGTTTTTAAAATTTTTAGATTTTTATTAATAATTAAAAAACGTCTTAATAATGGTTAAAAGTATAATATTATAAAATAAGTATTTAATATTATAAAACAAAAATTAAATTAAAATAAATAAAAATTGTTAAAATATATAAAAAAAAAAGGATTAATTTAAAAGCAAGTATGTCCAATTCAACATATGACGGTTTAGCATTCAATTATTATTGAAATGATTAAGCAACCAAATTTGAAATGTTAGTGCATCTCTTTTTGGTAAAATCATGGAGAATAAAACTAGTCAAAGTAAACGCACATGAGTAATAGAATGATGAGTTGAATGTTTTCTTTCCCATGTTGACCATGAACACAATATTAGTGTATATAATCCCAACCTCTAACCACTATTTTTCATAATACTTTTTAATTTTATAATATCAGTCACAGAAAGATGGTTATTTTAGTTTATTAATTGCTTTATGAAATAGAATATATCGATAATTTTATATTTTATTATAGTCTCTTGATATTTTTAATATATAAAATGAGAAAAATTATGCCCGATACAATGATCAAATAATTAAATCAATCAATTATATACATGATTCGATTTTTAACTATGTATACAGAAAAATATTTAATTTAGATAAATAATTCTCATTTAAAGACACTCTTTAGTGTTCGTAAAGGAAAGAAAGAATATTAATAAATGATAGGATAATTAAATATAGTTATTTTTATCTTATATATTGTAGAAGGTATTTAATTATTTTATTAACTATTTAACAGTTTTCACAAAGAAAAACATTTAAGAGTAAGTAATAATCTTATCAACGTCTTATAGAAGATGGAGAAACAAAGAAACACATTTTAGAATAAAAGGTCGTACAGGAGAAAAATGAAAACTTTAAGAATACCACAACAAAATTGTGACACACATCCTATAGTGACACTATGCATGTCATTAAAAATTACTTTTACCCACACAATAAATATAATATATGTTGGTAT